TGGCCATCAAAATCTCAAATTGGCGGAAAGCCCTAATCCCCTAAAAATACCCAAATTATTACAAACTAACTAACTATAATCCAAATTTATTACAACCTAACTAACTATAATATTATATGCTGAAATTAAAATTGTTGGTTTAAATTTTATAATTATTTTATTATACAAATAGTAACAAATCTAAAATATTTTGTAATACGATCCAATTTAAAATGTATTATTGAGAACTGTAAGAAAGATAATGAATTACATGATTTATAACACAAAAATTAATAAATAAAATAAAAATTTGGTTAGAAATTATTAGAATGCATACCAATTTTCGAAAGAACACTTTAATTTTTCACAATTTTAATTTTTTAGATTTCTAGAATAAATTTAGTAAAAGAGATTGTTAATAGAAAGCGAGAGATTCAAATGGAATAAATTTCTTTAAATTTTTTTTTTTTTAGATTTATAGAATAAATTTAGTAAAAAGATTGTTAATAGAAAGAGAGAGATTTCAAAAAATATATATATATTTTTTAAAAAATTTATTTTCTGCTTATTTTTATTGTCAACAACAATAAAATAATATGCGCCCAGGCGGAATCGAACTTGAAATGTGAAGGCTTAACGTGGAAGTGATAACCTCTCCGCCACATCAGCACAAGTGTAATTGCTTTTTACATTAATAATACTTGTCCAAATTCTGTCGTAATTTAATGCATCGTGGGAATTATCCCACATCCAACAGCATGCCTTAGTTTCGCTTTTATAAATTGCTTTGTAAGTTCCTTGAGGTTTGCGCACGTGTGCCTGAGGTTGCCATCCACGCGCACCCGATGGGTGACGGTAGTCTTCCACGTGTGAACCAAAGAAAATCGATATTTTGCCACTTGTTAACTCGTTATGTGACTTGCCATGTGACGTCATACGGGCGACTTTCACCAGTGTATGACGTCATACAAGCGATTCACTGTGCAAACCTGCCGATTTGTTCTAGAACCGGGCGGTTCCCGGTTTTACACTGGAATCGGCAAGGGGTAACCGATTCCAGTGCCGACTCGGGCGAGTCCATTGCGACTCGCCAATTTTTATATCACTGGGTAAAAGTATGGAGTTAATAGATACAATGAGACAAATGAGTGTTAACATAGTTTGCCTATAGGAAACTAAGTGGGAAAAGGTAAAAGCTAAGGAAATTAATGGTTATAAACTTTGGTATATAAGAATATAGAATAATAAAAATGGCGTAGGCATAATAGTAAACGAATATTTAAAAGATAAAGTAGTAGATGTTAAGAGAGTAGGTAATAGGCTTCTATTAATTAAACTTACGTTAGGGGATGAGATAATTAATGTATTAGTGCTTATATGCCACATATAGGACTAGAGAATAAAATTAAAAGACAATCTCGGAGGACATTGATGGAGCAGTCCAAGGAAACCAAATGGAGAGAGGACCTATTTAGGGATTAGAGGGAACTTAAATGGTTATGTAAGAAAAGATAATAAATGATATGAAAAGGTACATGAAGGATATGTATTTATGGAAGAAATGAGATGGCTGATTCTATTCTTGATTTTGTTATGCCTTATGACCTTGCTATAGCAAACATCTACTTTAGAAAATGATATGAATATTAAATAACTTACAAAAGTGGATCTTACAAAAAACCTTACAGACTTCTTTCTAATCACAAAGGCAGATCGACCATTATGTAAAGACTATAAGGTTTTCCCAAGAAAAAATTTGGCCATACAACACAGACTCATGGTTATGGATGTTCGCATAACGAGAGATGGAAGAGGAATGAAATAAATAGCGGTCCAAAAACATGGTGGTGGAATTTAAAAGGGGAGAAAATAGACTTATTTAGAAATAAATTGATAAAATAAGGAAACTAGAATTCTGATGATGAAGTTAATGTTATCTGGAATGGGATGACTTATTGTATCAAGAAAGTGACAAAAGAAGTTTTAAGAGAATCTAAAGTGAAAAGACATTCAGATAAGGAAATTGTTTGGTGTACTAAGCCAATTCCACGTGACACAGAAAAATTTCTAAATGCAATGCAACAATGCTCCACTTACATGAATTTTACATCAACGTATACAATTCCAGCCACCAAACTGGACCTCTCATACACTTAAAATGAAAAGAATTAACAACTCTAATTGGTCCCTTAACAAATTCAAACATAAGATATAATAAGGAGATTGAATCAGTATAAGACCATACTCATGTACTCAAAATTACAACACTATATAAATTACATTGCCAAATTATACATCACTTTGGAATTTCATCAAAGACATCAAAATCAATCTCCTCCACCAAAACATTTATTTACGTGTGAATAATTGGTTTAATCATGGAAATCCATATATCGAGTTCATATTGCATTGTTTACAGCCAAGGACGGGATGACTTCTATAATGGCATTAAGATATAGGCCAAAATACATCAACACAAACATATAAAAAACATTCCATACTCAATTCTACATGACACAGAACATTTAACAACTTAAAATTATAGCAAAGTAAATGCAAGGAATCAAGGGGAAGCCAATGGTCCAACCCTTGTGCCCAGGTCACCGATCGGATCTGAAGGACTTAATATTGTCCCATGGATGATAGCAAGGATAGCTTATAAACACAAGGGCCAATCCCACTTAAGTAATGGTAAGCTTAAGCACACTTCCTTACCACTTAATTGGTTTCAAAATATGAGAGACGGACAAACATTAACGGTGAAAACAGTTGGTAAAAGCAAGGTGTAGACAGCGCATAAAAGATGGGACACTATGGCCATGATGTAGACAAACATTTAAGTGTAGTTTCTCAAAGGAAATGCCTAGGATGATAATCTCACAATTTGGTACTCAAATGAACATTATATGTTTGATAATATACATCTCCAAAAACCTCAGAGAAATCAGGTGGTGTTTAAATTACATGAGTCTAGTCTAAACTATGCATATAAGATGGTATAGATGCATAGTTTTCCGAATACTTAATACTCATGAACAATTAAGTATGGATTCATGGAAAGGCTATTGTAATCACTAATTTACAGCAAGCAAAAGGGATGGAAATGAAGTCTTTCAAGGTACATGATGGAATTGTGAAGGTTTTCTCATATGTGGATAATGAAGTAAACTAGATACCATGCATTAATGGAGTGGATTCAACTTCATATGGCCATGGAGTTACCTTGCTACAAGATGGAGAAAGATGACCAAAATAAGTGAGGTGTGGGTTTCCTTTCTGTCTCTCTTTCTTCAAATGAGTTAAGATGGTTTGAAATGAAGGCAAATAATGGTATTTATGTGACTTCATAAGTGGCATGATCTTAACCCTTGATGCTCATCATCCATGGTATATGAGAGGGCCATGATCCCAGCCACACATCCCCATCCAGCCACCAAGATGTAGGGATGTAATTTCACACGATTATCACCACATTAAACCCTATGTTGCCAATTTACCTCATCTCCAGAAGTCTTAAATAAATCTCCAACAAGCCATTTTATGTCCAGCTTATACTTTTGAAATAAGGAAGATCAAGTGAGAGGGGAGTGACCTTCATGGTTTTTTTAAATTCTCATTTTGTTAAATATTTAAAAATAAAAATCTACATGGCTCATCCAATCAAATTGTACCATTGTGTAAAAAACACATGGGTTCAACAAATGACATAATGCCACTTGAAAAGGTTGGTTTCCATTGAAAACTTAGGGTTTAAGCCAAATTATCAAGGACTACCATTAACCATAGGCACATATGACCAATGCCACACATGTGGCAATAAAGCATGTGATTAATATTATTCACTTCAAACAATATTTTTATTTCAAACTGCATAAAACACTATTTAAAACAATTTCACAAATGCCATAATAGGACATCCACCTAGGGCTCCACAACATGATGATGTCAACGCCCCTAGGCTGACGTGGGCATGTGTGGGCCTTCACTAGCATGTCTTGTTAGGAATTTTCTCAAACAACATTAAAATCCTCATTTCTAGCTCAAAAAAATTCTGAAAATTTCTCAAAGATCTCAAAAATTCTCCAAATCATTTTCCACTAAAATTATTCACTTTGGCATCAAAATAAAATCGGACCATGGGTAAATGAGATCTCATGGTCAAGATTTAGGCATCAAAGTAATCCACTCAGCTAGTCCCGAAATGATGATCCATTCTTTCGGAGTGACCCAACAAGCCTATGCTCCACAGTCTTTGGCAGAGACGCATAATCTCACTTATCAAAGTCACCCAAATCAACATCCCAAAACTCTCAGGTGTCAATGGATTACAAGTGCACCCCTGGGGGCATAGAAATACTCACTGACAGGTGTCATTCTTAGCTGGATCATAACACATCAAAAGAGTGGCTTCCAATGTGACTGTAAGTGCACATGCTATATAGGGTGGTCTAATGCCAAGGTTTCAACTCATGTCCCTTGATTTATGACCATCCTATGCAAGGTCATTACTCTTAATGTACACGAGTTCTAACCTCCTTTCGGTTATGTATGAGCACCCTTGATAGAGCGGAATGGTAGAATAGTATTCATGTAGCCGAACACAAATTGTCAAGATAAGGCTTGGATGATGATGATGATGATGATTTGGTGACAGATAGGAAGTGCACTTCTTTTCCTTTTTTATTTTTTTTTGAGGGGTTGGACTCAAACTTGAGATCTAGTAACAATGTTAACTGCTAATGACTCGAGTCCAAGCCTGATTCCTAGATAGAAAATGCACTTGATGGGCTCTTTTTGCAGACACCTTTTTCAATACACTTCATGCTAGGCATATAAAAATGAATAATTGCAACTTATGCTTAATCCATGAAGTATAACCTCTATCATACAAGCAACAAAACAATATACAATATCAACATGGCTAAAAACTTGAGGCTCATCTTTGAAATAAAAAGATTATGAGATCCTCCATAAAGCTTTGGTCAAAGAAGGAAATAGTTATAGCCACAATATAAATATACCTTATCAACTTTGTTTCCCACAAGCATCTTGATACAATCTTGGTTTGTTGAATAGAGTTCCACTTCTTTTGCCCATACCTCTGACAGATTTACAAATGTCTCTCGTCTTGTGACATCATAAACTGAAACATTACAACAAATCATCTAAAATGAGACTTCTACAAATGTAGTTATGGTTCCTTGCTATCAGGTAGTAGATTCACATTCTTTAAAGTATATCCTGAACAACAATATTTTAACCAATAGATCTGCAATAAATATTTTCCATCCCAAGAGATAGCCTATGGCATTGGACGTACATGTTGAACAACACAATACTGTGTTAAGTAGCATGACTAATTATCTGTCATTAAATAGTAGGATACACTACTTTAATACAATAATGGAACAAAATATGGTGCAGGGCCATTCCATGGGGATTCTGCTTCATGGTTTAGCAAGTTACAGACTTGGCTATAAAAGAATCTAGAGTACCAATGTACCTTCTGCTACCCCTAAGGATAAAAAGTTAATGATTCCAATGATGTCCTTTGAGTGTTCTGTCAAAGATAGAGATGACTGGGACTAACAGAGTTTGGATCTATTTCAACTATGAAAATAAGGCCCCACTACAGGCGTGTGCAGTAACTTTTCAGATATCAAATGGTAGTCCGCATTAGTTACTTTTTGCATGCATGAAAGATCCCATTGGCTACCTTGTAGAAGACTGTTGGTTTTGGTTATGACAAGGCATAGAGGGACTGGATGAATTAGAACCCAGGTCAAGCACAAAACGACACAGAGGTGATCACAAACAACCCGCTCAGGTCTCAATTTCTGTATTGGATGAGGCAATGGTACACGTTTCTGAAAGACCATGACATGAATCTGGCCAAGAAAGATATTATAACTTGTTATGTATCGCGTTTGTAAGAATAATGGTCTTACAAAGAGCCCATTAAGCTTAAGGGAAGAGATGCAGTAGATACATGAAACAAAGAGGGATTGAGGCTTTCTTTACTATGGAATACCACTTCAGCAGCTTGAAGAGGTTGAAACAAAAATAAATCGGGTCAAGTGCATGTTACACATCGTGGATTTCAATTGACATCCACAATATACAGTTAGATACTACATTTTAAAGGTAGAAGAGAAAGGAAAATTGTCACTAATGAATAAAAATGGATCTCTTTAGGTCAGACACAAAAAATAAATTTAAAAAAATGAACTTGATGCCTCTACAAGGAGAACACTGTATTTGACGCTTGTGAAATGTTGGTGGATAAAGTTGTTTCGAATTCCAATCTTAGGCAGAACCTCAGAGGAAAGGATATTGAACCATTAGAGGAAGTCATGGCTTTGCTCCAGAAAATCTTTCTACTTGACAAATTGATATTATACAATGATCTGGACCCCTATTCATCTAGCCAGTTCTCCTTGAAAATCTTTTACTAAATGATTGCAGGTCAAGGAGCAGTAAGATTGGCATTGAGCTATGCCTGGTCCATGCCAGCACCCCCTACAACAAAGGTGTTGGTTGGTTGGCCATTATTGACAAGTTACTCAGAATAGAACAGCTTCAAAACCTTGTCATGGCTACACCAAACCATTGCGACCTCTGCAAATCTAATGCAGAAACCTTCTCCCATGTTCTTCTCCATTGTCTATTCACACAGGAGTAGCTCAGTGGAACAGCTATTCACCAGCTAATATTCTGTCCGTATCCAATGAGAAGGAAACCTACTACGGGCAATGTGAATGATGCAAATCTGTAGGCTGTTTGGCTTGAGCGAAACAGGAGGATATTCGAAGGGCAGTATCAGCAATCACATGTTCTCATCAACAACATTAAAGATACCATCTTAAGTTGCACCAGTATGAGCAAACGAGTTCTGGGGTGACTCAGCTGTAAATTTCCATTGTCAGTGGAGGAGATTTCAAGAAATTAAAAAAAAAAAAATCACAAGAAGAAGACTAGTGTCTCCCAGGCATCCATCAAAGTGGGTTCCTCAAAGGGGATCCATCAAGTTGAATTGCAATGGAAGTTCACTTGGTGATCCTGGCCCAGCTGAATGTGTAAGTGTATTCAGAGACCATACTGGGAGGATTTTATCGTCATACTATGAGACTGATGCAACGCATGCTGAAGCTCTTGCCCTACTCCAAGGTATCAGACTATTTCGAGCCTTTTGTTCATTGAAGATGACTCAATTAACATAATCCAATGGGCATTTAGAAAGGCTTAAAGCCAATGGCGATTGTGTCACATATTGGAGGAAGTATAGGAATAATTACATGGGGTCTCTTTCTCCTGCCAATACATATGGAAGAAATCATTTTTTCGCAGGAGAAAAAGACCAGCTCGCCTGTGAGGGAACTACCAGGAATTCATTATGTATAATCCCTCATGCACTTAGTCACAACAGACTTTGCCCATTCTGTCAACTTGATCCTTTCTTTTTTAACTTGATATATATGTACAGCAAGAGTATATATTTGGATAATTCACATATCCACTGGCATAAAGATTTTTTTGACCTCTATACCGATTTAGTAAATCATTATGCAATTTATATATTAGTTAACCTTCAAACTTAGAAATATATAAAAACCAAAACAAAATCGGGTGGTTACCACAAACCTCAAACGCCTCTGACACAAGAACCCACACGATGTGGGCCACTAGTATATGTTACAGCCAAGGCTCCACCACCCTTACAATATGAAGGTACTAAGTTTCGGGGGTTTTCAACCCTTTAGAGGTTAGTTCTTTTCCTTCACTATGGTCTTCTTTGGTTAGTCCATTGAGTCAACCAACCACAAAAATGTTTTTTTTTTTTGAGAAAGTTAACACCAACCACAAAAATGTTGACATTAAATGTATTGGCATTTTGCAAAAAGATATTTTGATTTACTTCCTCAATAAAAATCATGTTATATTGCCTGAAAGGGCAAAAGGCCAACACATCTTTCACCACTTTTAAGGGGTATGAATGGAGTGAAATAACTCAAACAAACAACTTCAGATAGTTCTTTACAACCTTCCCCCACATATTCCACAGTCCATCACACTCAAGTGAGAGACGAGAGGCAGTCAGTGGTTCAGTTGAGTTTTGGTGAAGTTAAAAAAGCATCTGAAGCAATGGATGAGTTAAATTGCTAGGACCTCAATTCTTTTATGTGAGTCAGTACTTGATTGATAATTTGATGTCGACATAGAGGTTCTATTCTTATGCTGTATGTAAAATCCATCATTTTTTAGTGGTTTTGAAACAATCAAAGTGATAATATGGTAGAATCATAAATAAAGCTTCAGAAGGAGCTAGCTATTCAAATACAAACAGGTTAAATGGAAAGAAGTTACAAAGTTAAAAACAAACCTAATATAATCCCCTGTGCACCCCTATAATATGAGCTTGTCAATGTTCTGAATCTCTCCTGTCCAGCTACAATAGTAACACACTTTCCACAGTGAAAATAATAAAATTAAAAAAGAGAGACATAATTTTCATTAGTTTGTGACTACTTGTTATATAATAATTTCCAAAAACTTCACAATCATAGGCATGACTATTTTCCTCTAACAGTTTCAATATCAAATATATTGCAATTGCCCATCTTGCGTAACGATTACACAATTAAAGATCATGGAAATGTTCAAATTTTTCCTTTGGATGAGTGGAAATGTTCAAATCTAAACAAGTAAAGCAAGAACTATATGGGAGAATGTAATGGAAAGTGCATGTGGGTGTTAAAAAGTTTTAGGGGTATGTGTGTGCATGCACGCATAAGCACGTGTGTGCATGTATGCGCTCAAAGATAAGGGGAAGATGTTCCATTTGAACCAAGATACAGCTTCCTCGCCTCACTACTAGTTTCCTGATCTCATGGGGAGGAGAAATAGACTAACCATCTGCAAGCATGAACATGATATTAGCTAATCTCCGTGTATATTCCACTTCAGTTTGTGCACATCAAACAGCATTAAGAGTTATTAAATGGGCTTTAGAAGGACCAGGACACTAACTTGTGTCTGTCACTAGTGCTTCAACTTCTGCCTCAGTCAAGTCAAAGATATCATTTGGTAAAACTAAATATCTTGAGCTGACCCAGGAATAACTAGGTAAGCCCACCCAATCCTGCTACATAAAGGCTCCTTTCTCAGACTTGAGCTTCAAAAAGCCTTCCAGTTGCTTGCCCCACCAACCTCTATGACTTTACTAGGAAAATTACAATTGGGTATTGACTTCTGCTCCCAATTCAGGTCATCCATGCTAAGACAATACTGAGTCCCTACTTCATATTCCCGATGAGTCATGCCTATTAGATCAGATAGAATATGCTTTTTTTTCCTTGATGGATTTGATTTTCTTACTAATGACTGCTTTAAATACAAAAGAGAATGGTAACGGTCAGGTACCCACATGTTGGGAACTCTATACAAAATGGGGCACAGGTACATCCCTTATGGAAGTATAATTTGAATATCAAAAAAACTATTGGCAGCCAGCAAGTATGGTGCTCATGTACATAAACGACATCCTAGACACACTAGATAAGACAACAGAAGGAAAATAGATAGAGGGAGAAAAATGAGTGGATCAGATAGAAATCGTCGCATTGGTGTCTTTCCAAATAGCTTAGAAGTTGAACAGAAGGCACAGGTTCCAAGTAAGAACCCTCTTCCCGAGAATGGGATGTTGAATACGCAGCCCAGATCACAACCAACTCTAGCATCACTTCACAAGTGTCAATCAGCTTGAAAAGGACCAATTCCATAGAAGATGCTCCATGGTTTTCTGGGACTCACAATGCATGCTCACTACTAGGCATTTGGATCCCATGGTTTTGGAGGTTGTCCATTGCTAGGATCTTATCAAAGATAGCCAGCCAAGCAATAATCAGGACTCCATAAACAAGTGAAATGCTAGTCTCCCTTTGCTGTCTCCCCTCAAGAATCCAAAGGAATAGCAGGAAATGCATGAGAATGAGGTCTGCAGAGCAGACTGGACATTGATTTGGAATCTAAGATTAACATCCCCTGCAGTAAACTCAATGCCATGTCAGAACTTCTACCTTAAAGAAGAAATCTGTCTCCATGCTCCAGTAATATTGTCGAACGGTGCCCAAAAGAAATGGACACACATTCGTATATCAAGAATCCTTACACATATAGTATGTGTGAAAGCCTCAGTAGCAGCGGTATGAAGGGTGAGGGAAGCTCCTAGCATTAATGGTTTAAAGCACTGTAATTTAGAGGAAACCTTCAAAAAGCCACTCACTAGACTGGGGAATAACTTGGTTCATATATATGTTAACAACCATCATTTCCCATACTCAAATTCATGTGTTTGACAATAAATTCACGCAATTGGTAATTACTAATGCATTGCACTAATGATTATAAGTTTTCATCAGTTTACATGCCACCAAATTATTAATACACCATATTTGCAAGGACAGAAATCACAATCTCTTCAAAGATGTGACAAAAATAAACGAATATATAAATATAATCCTATCATTTTATTTTATTTATTTTCTTTTTATTTTTAACAACAAAGAAAGAGCATCTATGTAGTTTCACAGAATGTAGACAAACAGAGACGACTACAGAGGGGGAAGACAGGAGGTAGGCGAAAAAGATCTCATATCCTAGATTGTGATATTCAATCCATAATCACAAGGCATGTAGGAAAGATCTTTCACAATGAAGGAATATCGTCACTTTTCTTTCTTTTTCTCATAAACAAACCACATGAATGACCATTCAAGGGCCCCATGCACCTCTTAAAGAATGTTTATTTAATTGCTCAAGGACATTGAATGTCCATACAATGGATAAAATGACCCAAAAGTCCTAACTTTTTCAAAAATTCGTAACGGCAATTTTAACCTGATATAGCAAAATATCCTACAAACACTCTAACTACTTCTCTAAACAACTCCTAAAAATATAAAAATATAAAAATATAAAAATATAAAAAAACCCTAGAATCCATAAAAAACTTTAAAACCCTAAAATAAACCTAAAAGTAAAAATAAAATTGTATCATTCGAATATAAATAAAATTAAATATAAATTTTTTTTTCCTGTATCAATTTTGTATAAAAAATTCAATATGAATTTTAATGATTGTTGAATGAGGATTAATATTGAATTGTTGGCAAAAATGTAATTATACAAATGCTAGTTTATTCAACCCGTCTAGTGGAAACAAGCATACCTGTATCCCAGATTGTGAGCTTCAACTTTTTGTCCCCAACAGTGAGCACTCTGATTTTAAAGTCCACACCTACACATAAGTGACACAAACTAAAATTTCAGTGAAAGTCAACAGAAAAAGGAGTTATTAATTGTGAAAAAACAAATTTCTTTTAAATGCATAGTCAATTGAAGCTAAAATATAAGATCCTTGAAGAAAATATTTTCATATTAATTGCATTAGATAATAACAAAATAAGAAACCAGAGTTTCAAGAAGACGATAAATACATTGCCAGTACCAAATGAGAAGAGAAATGCAAAGGATATTATCATGGCATCATTTAAAGAGGACATCCATGGCAATTCATACAAGAAATATTACAAATTTGGTTCTGTTCAATATCCGTCTCTTTTTCTACTAAAAGGGATCCTTGAAATGCATTTTCTTTCTGATAAGGAATAATTCATATAATGGAGTATACATATAGTTGCTCCCAATGGTGCAGACCAATAGAAACACACATAAAACAAAAAGAAAGACAAGATGCACGAGATAAATTAAGGAGGAAAGGTGGAGAGTGGGCCAATAGAATAAGAGGGATCACATCAGCAATCAGCAGGGAGTCCCTTCAGCCACCATCATTAGAATGCACATGTATGTCTCAAACTATAAATAACAAACCAAATGAACAATTGCTCCTCTATTTGGAAAGTTGTTGATCAATAATTTTCATTTGGAGGATGCAGATTTTACATTGAACAACCATGAGGAGAAACTTGTGGGACTATGGGTTTCTCAAATTTAGCATCTGTAGTTTCAGTAATCAATAAAGCCAACCAAAATCTTTTGTGGGACAAATAGTATTTGAGTTAAAAGAAAAGGCATCACAAGATGATAAATCAACATTTTTTATTTATACAGCCCTAGGAAAGCATATAACCACATCAAGTGTCCCTTGTATTGCACATAAGTTCCTCAAGTTTCATACTGGTATATACAAAATGACATAGATATACATCGATAATATGCACACAAACATACATATGTACACAGAAATGTACTTCTATAACATAATTACCTTTTCTCTGCAACCACGTACAAATTTCAAACTGGTTTCATGAAGTGCTTCCTGAAGTAAGGCTCTTAATAAAATAAACACTTAGCCACATGCATGCATGTGTATTCCACCACCCACAAGTTACAAACTGGAATCACATATGGGTTCGTGAACTGTGGATTCTTTTCTCTTGATTTTGTTTTTATTGGGAGTGCCATGAATTCTGATTTTAAAGTATGAGAAGATGCAAACCTCGAACTTATTGGTAAAATCTCCTAATAAATCCAATGTGTGTAAATTGCATGGCTGCCTAATTCAGAAAACCACCCATGAATTGCAAATTAGCTTTGCAATCATATTCACTAATTGAGGTTCTCTCTATTTGTTAGGCGTAACTCAAATCTCTTATTGTAATCCTGAAAATCGCAAACAGGATAGTGAACTATGAATTTATTTGCACATCACTAATATTAGAAAAGAACTGAATAGGTCGCTTTTGTCACATAATACTCCTTAACACAATACCAGTTCCATGGATCCAGGAAATAAGGCAGGTGACCCTATGCTATTTATCTGGTCCATCCAGGGGTGGTATAGTACTTGATATTAGGTTGATGCCTCAGAATATGGAGGTGCCTCTATCATTATTAAGATCAATGAGTACGAGAAAGCTATTAGGTGTAGACGACTGAGCAGGGACACCTTGTCCGTCTGCACGAGTATGCGACTAGTGCGGGATTTGGTACGGATCACCAGACACTAGTGAGAGATGTTTTCCCCAATCATTGACTTAGATCCGGTTGCCCGAGACACCCCTTTCTCACTCGGGTGGGAGCCACGATCAGACGGCACCACTAGCGACATCAATATTAGCCCTGGTAGTAGTACATGATCCATCTATAGAAGAAACGCCTAGAGCAGCACCTAAGTAAGAAAGACTAGAGGGGAAGGATCAGGTCCACGCACGCCTTCTCGAGGGCTATTATACTACCACAGCAGTCAAAGCGAGCATGAGCTGGACATCTAGCTATGATAAGCCGAGCTGTTCAAGCTTCTCGTTCTCGAAAGCCAAGCCATCTTAGAACTTGATGCTGCAGCAGATGTGCTGTCGATCCCGATCTTGATCCAATCGTCGATGAAGCAGCGAGCCAATTGCATCGTAAGTAAGAGCATCAATCTATTTTCCATTACCAGTTCTTTTCGTTGATCCGGAGCACCACCACCGAGGGCCTAACACCAAGCAAATCTAGTTTCAGGCAAAGGTGTTTCCACAGATTAGTTTTAGATACGCTAGTCGCAGATTGAGACCTGATCTAGTTGTTTCGTATCTAGTTCCACCTCCTTACATGAGTGGGCTCACTCACCAAGAAGGGGAAGGGGGGCTATGCAAATTGGGGAAGTAGGAAGAATCGGAGGGCACCGCGTTGACCAATCCTTACAACAAGAAGTTAGTTTTAGACTTTTGCTAACCTTTGCTTTCTTTTTTTTCCCTCAAAATTGCTTATTGTCTTTCATATGGGCAAGCATATTCAATGTAGCTAAATATTCCATGAAGGAGAGACGAAATACTGTAGCAACATTTCTATGCTTTCAAAGGATGCAAGGAGGCCATTTTCCCCACAACTTGGGAGCAAAATATTGCGTCAAGTGCTAAACTAAAGTGAAGCCTAGTAATGGTGTTCCGTGGTGGTGCCCTAGTCTTCTCAATGATATGCATTGTAATAATGGCTCATGAGTCATAAAAAAATGATGCAATACCACATGGTTCACCTTTATTAATATGGGCTACATTTTGAAGCTTATGATATTTTCCCATTGGAATGCTAATTGATACATTTAGAGAGCTCAACAAAGTAGCTACCTCATTGCAGATAAAGGTTAATATTACCCCTGACATCTTCTCCATTCTCCCAAGAAACAATCGTATCCATCAGGATGCCTGCCATGTATGCTGTAAAGTTACAACCTTCAATTAAAGCCTTTCTCCTACGATTTGTATTTGCCAAACTACTTTTTGGTATTTTGTATTTCCTTTCAATATTACATCGCTATATTCACTGGTGATGCCAGCCAAGAGAGGCATGCCCCTCATCAAAGTGCAACTTCATTCATTCATTCAAGTTAAGCTTTTAACAGCCACAAAAAGGAAAAAGTAGAGATGAATGCAACTGCTAACAAATGAATCAAGTCCAATAAGTATCCTTTGAGTCTTACAGACCAGATTGTTGCAAAATCCACAATTCTAAAGTACCAAGAAGTTATTATGAAATTATTGCAATTCACTTTTATTTACTATATGGTTCCTCTATCTTGCCACAGGTACCGAACTATTTTCTGGAACAAAGATACACCAAAAATTTGAACTCAGGTCTCATACTTAAGGTTCAACTCTCAAGCAATATAATAAGAGGTGAGCTTCCAAAACATAGCTTAGGGTCACAATATATTTGCATTCCTCACAACATAAACACATCAAACTTGAAGTACAGTACCTCACACAAATTTTAAGTCCAAACCCTTTAAGATAAAATAACATAACTGTGAAATGCATATATCCAGGCACACTGCTTCATGGGCAATTAAATTTAACATGCTGTAAATAGAGAAGAAAACATATTGGACTTGCCCCACAAATATGATTCACTAACTTAAAAGAAACAGGGGTGACAAATGCATAGGTTCACTTGATGAGAACGCATCAACTCAGGCACGCATGCATGCAAATCCATGAGTATATGAAATCACGGATGAGAAAACGTTATCAGCACATATTCACAGTCCATAAGGGAATCAGTCATCCTTCCAATACAATTACAACCCACTAATTATGTCTACCATGGTCAGAGGCCAAGGTCTATAAATCATAGAACAGAGAAGTTACCCTTTGCATTATGTCTTAATCAACATAAATGCACAAGAAGAGGAACCTTTGAGGGGAAAAAAATAGCTTAAAGAGGAAAATAAGATCAGAGTAGACAAGATCAAATCTAAAAAAGTATGCAAGATTCATTGAAGCTTCCAAGGCCCAAATTATGGTCTTAAAAAAACAAAAAACAAAAACACACCCCATTTAACCAAACCACATAGAGATCGCACATTTGAGGACTACTGTTAATCAACAGAAAAAAATTTGCAAAAATCGAAAAGAACCCAAGAAAGTGTAAAGCATTACATACCAATTGTAGGAGAGAGATCATTAAAAGATTGAGAAGTGAAGCTGAGGAGAATGCTGCTCTTCCCAACTCCTGAGTCCCCCACCAACAAGATCTTAAAATGATAATCATAACTACCTTGTCCAGAAGATGAACCCATTTATTTACTTAGCTCTGGGTCCTCTCTCTACTGCATGAAACCAGAAAAAGCTTCAGCAGAGAGAGAGGGATGCCCCTTGATGGGGAACAAATGGAAGTCCTTTAAGCTTATTAGACAGGGAGAATATAGAGTTTTGATGGGTTTCTCAGTGGAACTGGTTTTGTTTCCCCATCATGGAAGATGAGAGAGTATTCTTTGATTGTATAAAAAGGCGTGTGTTACAGAGACAGAGAGAGAGAGTGGCATCTATTCTTTATTTTCTAAAGGAGACATGGAAGCATCTCAAGGCACCATTCTAACGCGCCTTCCACGCTTTCGGAGGTTAGAGAATCCGATGTCTGCACCTGAAAGGTTTTCTAAATGGCCTCATCTACTGTCTAAATACCCGAGACATCCTTTCCATGTAGTTGGCCTTATTTTTTATTTTACATATTATTATTATTGTTATTCTTACTTTTTTTTTTTTTTTTAGTTTGTGGAATCTTAAGCATACAAGCACCCATGACTGTAGACTCAAGCTTACAATGCCATGAGGAAGAAATATGCGAGAGATGTGAAAATATGAGAATTGAAATATAGGTTGGCGTTGCATCCACATGCTGTGGACACTCAAAAGGTGCACTAGTGCTTTTTAACGGTTAAGATTCAACTAACCTCATTTAAAAGTCAAATTTGTATTTTACTTTTATTTTTTATTTAAAAATAGTATTAATATAAAATTTAATAGCTCCATTTTTATATGTATAATTGAATAAAATAATAATAATAAAATATTTTAAATAAGCAATATTGATCAAAATAAATTTAGTAACATTATTTAATTGTTTTCATGTAGTTATACTTATTAAAATACACCTAACAATTCAGATAAGTATCTTATTTAGATAAAATAAAAATAAAAAAAATGCAAAACTAATTTTTGGTCGTTGGATTTGGCTTTGCGAAGTCTCAACCATTAGATGGGTGCTTGTGCATCCTTCCACCAGTTCACATGATGCGGACGGGATACTTTTTTTTTGTACAATCCAAGTACATGATTTCGATCTTGGCGAGAAAAGGGAAGCGAATTGGTGCTTCCGTTGACGTTTAAAAACAATAAAATAGTTTAAGGAATATCTATAAAGATTTGTGACATTTTCATTAAGTAATTTTATGTTGCACTTTTCTTTAGTCGAGATATTTTCGATGAATTAATATTGTTTTGAAAATACAGAGGTTTGGAGGCTGGCGTGAAGTAAATTCCATAAAACTAATTAATATTGTTCAACTGTGAAAGGTGTAATTTTATAAATCCTACTAAATAAAAATAATTAAAAAAATTAAATAAAAAATAAAATATCTCTAAATGTATTTTGATCAATATTACTTATTTAAATATTTATTATTCAATTTTCTTGTAAAAATGAAGCTAGAACCCAAATCTCACATCATATTATTTTTAAATAAAAATAACATTTCTATTAAATCTGAACTATTAAAAAAATGCTTGTGCACCTTTCGAGTGTCCACAACATGTGGATGCAATATCAACTCAAAAACAAATGGGTGTAGAAACTAGTTATAATAATAATAATAATAATAATAATGATAAGAAAGTGATGTTAAATCTAAAATAAGAATTGTATACAATGAAATTATTTATCTTTGATACATGAAGTCACAATTACTTGTAACCATCTAATGTGAAATTTGATAGCTTAAGTGTATCACACGAGAATTTGTTTTGAAGTTTGAGCTTGGTCAATGAAATAAACACAGCCATCTAATTTCACATCAATGGTCAAGATTAATTGCGACCATTGTACCAAAAGTAAATACCGTTAATTATATACTTCCCTTTAGAGGCGTCCATATGGCATTAGTTGAAAGAGAAGGGTAATTTAGTAACATTAGGGGGGGGGGGCAGAAATCACAATCTGCACTTAGACGGTACGTTTGATGGTGTCCGAATGAGTGAGAACGTTTACAAATCACAATCGCCGATTTGATCGCAACGCCGGCTTCTCCACGTCAATAAATTTAAGCACAAGGCGACACAACACGTACCGCTCATTTATATTCAAATAGGGCGTACCTCCCAAATGGACGGCTGTGATTATCAAAGTTACATATGAAAGCGACCGAGGATCTCAGCCGTTCGAGAAGGAAATGGCCCAACTCTTGGGCGGATTGGTCGATGTGACTTTTAAGATAAATGTTTCTGCCATGGACCCGCGGCCATTCCCGCATATGTAGAAATGCACCATAACCCCATACTCATACACTATAAGAACATCTTAAAAATTCCATAAAGTCCCACAATTGATCGAACCCTAAATTATTTAACCTAAACTGGCTTATTTAAGCCTTAAACCTTCATAATCAACCCATCCAATTTGTAAAAGCTACCTATTTAGCCTTAACCATTCTTAAAAAACTGCTTAATTAGGCTAGCACACCTTTACGCATCCTTTCAAATATGTCTTAAATCCTAGGTTTGGCCATTAGCCCCTAATTGCCCCTTAATTACAACCCAATAAACACAAAAACCCTAATCTGGCCCCTTTGAAATACCTAAAAAGGTTTTTTAGGCTATTCCTACTCGTGGAGTATATACTTAATCTATTCAACACTTTTGGATAGTTAAATACCCTTGATTTTATACAAAATTTTTCAAGCAAAGGTATTATTGGTCATTAAGAGGGGTAGAATAGTGGCATTCTATTAGTAGTTAAAAATAATTGATGCTCAATGTAAGTGATGTCATACATCATATCGGTGATGTTTCCGTTTATATTAGGAATTTTTTCTTTAGCCTTGACTAATTATTTCAAATACCCATAAACAAAAGGTTACTACATTATATGAAAGTGTCAAAAAATGTTGAGTACATTAAGTATATATTCCATGTGTAACAAAACTCATAATAAAAAATAATGAAAAAAATAATTAAAGCGCCCATTAATCCTTAAAACAATAAGAAACCCCCACGTTTGACCCAATAGAGATCCATAATGAACAATAGAGGATGTGGGACGATAGGTGGCAAGAAACTAGCCCTATCCAGGGCCCCTCAAATTTCAACATTGTGTTTAACGACGCGTATTGTATTGCTAAAGCATTGACAACTCTGATTGAGTTGTCTCTTAGCCAGGGTCGTTACCACCCCATTTTATTATAAGGTTTTGTATACAGTGAGACCATTTACCTTTGGTAAAGGGGCATCATAATTATTTATAACCATCCGATGTGAAATCCAATAGCTTAGGTGTGACACAAAATTCGAAAAAATTTATTTTAGACTTTGACCTTGATCAATAAAATAAATATAGCCACCCAATTTCACAACCAATGGTCAAGATAAATTGTACCCACCTTGTACCAAAGGTAAATGGTCTCATTATTTTTTGTTTCTTATTATAAATACATCCCTTTTAATTCCATTCTAGGGTTTAAAACCTTATTATTTTGCCCTAATCCTAAACTCAACCAAAATTACCCTTTTGCCACTCAATTTTAGAAACCCTAAATCTAAGACCCTCTAGAGCCCTGCTACTCTAAAAAGCTAAAATTTACTGCTCTACCCATTAAGACATCCAAAAGCCCTTAAACCTTGCCTACAAACCACACTTAAATAGACCCTAGACTATAGTGGTCCAATAAAATCCTGGTCACAACAGGCCTATCTAGCTCAAAACTTTGAAAGATGAAGGAATGGTGCCACATACCAACATTCTCTCATTCAAGCGCTAACTCCAGGCACCAGGGCTGTGGGACCTGCTTTCAAGTAGGCCCACATTCTTCGTTTATGTGTTCTATTGTTTCTCTTTATTTGTTTGCTTTGTTCAAGTCCCTTTTATGTTTTAAAGCCTCTTTCTAAAGCCTCCCCTTATTTTTTCAAGCTTTTAAAAGATTTCTTTGGTCTTAGTCACTTTTTAGTTGGCACGGCCGGTGGACCACCAAAAGAGTATTAAAAGACCAACTTTTCATGATCCATAATTTGAGAGAACCCCTTTTCTCCTTATGATAGTTTAGACATGAATTTAGGCAATAAAAATCTAGTGTCCATTCACCTCAAAATCGGGTATAAATGACAAGATACCGAATATGGAACCAAACATATGAGAATGGACCGAGTCTAGCCAGTTCCAAATATTTTCTTATTTTTCAGGGACTCGATTTAGTCTCTAGTAGACTTTGACTAGTCCATGGGACATGATTTGGGCTCGAAGCCCTAGCGAGTCCCTACCAGGTCCTTGATTTAGATCATTAGGTTATGTTTATGCAATTATGGTAGGACGTGCTTTTGAATAAGTTTGTTGGAAATTAATGTAGGGGCATGAGAATTCCAATAGATTTATGGTGGAAGGTAGCCTATCCTTTTTAAATTCTAAAAATAGTGAAAATCAAGTTGATCTATAAACATGTGAAAGTCTTGAAAATGGACGGTCTAGATAATATGTTGCAAGACGTATTATTTTTGCTATTCAAAATCTTTTTTTGTTTTCTTCTCCATACATCTCGATGTCGAGATGATCAACTAAAGGGTTTTTCAACATTAAAACAACCTTTTCGGAGGATTTTTGAGGTGTATCTTTAATTCTACATTTTAAGGTTGCAACCATATATAAACTTTTTCCATAGTATTTTATCCTCTTTATATGTGTAAGTAAAGGAAGATTTGTAACAAATCATATGCATGGTCCTCGATGGTAATTAAATGGTGGCCTGGTATGTATATGTAACCCAACCTTTGTATTTAAGAAAAAGGTTAGTGCAAGATGTTTACATTAAACATTGTTAAATAGGGTAAATGAAACAAAAATATCTAATAAGGGTTTTTTTTTGTTATTGGGGTTGTTAATGGGCCTGATATACCCCACAGGATTTGAGGTGCCCGGCATAGGGATGGGTTTGGACCACATGTTAAGGCTTGTGGACCTGGGCCCATACTAGCATTGCCTCAAATGTTTCTACACATGTTAGTAAATCTTTTCCGGTGCGTTTTGTATAGAGCTTAGGCTCTAAACAATCAAATTAGAGCCCACTTTCAAATAGTGTCGAGAAATATGGTTTCAATACTGAAAATCTTTGATAGCCTTAAAATATATTTTTCATATTTATTTATAAAGTTTAAAGCTTAAAAAATTGTATAGATCGACATATCTATGAAAACTTAAAAATCTTGAAAATTGATGGTCCAAAAATGCGTTACAAAATATACTATTTCCAAAACTTGAAATCTATTTTTTTCTCATATCCATGTATCTTGATGTCGAGATGATCAATTTGAAGATATTTGGGCATCAAAACAACCTTTTCT